TCGACTTCACCTTACTGGTCTCTGCTTGTCCCAAGTGGAAAGAGAGCAGGCCCCAGGGCTGGGCAGTGCTAGGAGGCCGCCCGTGTGGGGCACTGGGGGGAGGGATGGATGGACAGACACATAGCAGCAAGGCCTTCCCATGGGTACGCCAGACCGCTTCCTCCATACGGGGACAACCACAGCCCCTGGGGACCTTCCAGGGGTTGGAACCTCTGCTAAGTGACACCAGAGAAGCCACATTGAGGAGACCAAGTGTAGGTATACAGCCGAGAGTCTGGAGAACTCAACTGACAGAGCTCCCACACACATGAAAGGACAGGGTCTGCCGCAACCTGGGGGGAACGCTCCAGAAGGAGCAGAAAGCCCACCCAAGCCCCCAAACTGAGGAGCCCTCAGGCGTGACAGCAGCAGCCCGCTTGCCCTGGGAGCGACCCTGAGGGGTCTGGGGGCCTTTGGTGCAGGAAGTGGGCCTCTGCCCAAGTAGGGCTGAACGGTGGCCTTGGAAGAAGGGACCTCTCTGGGGGGAGAACTGGGGGAAGGGAGAGGAGGGCCGGTGGAATCCACTGGGGCCCCAGAAAAAGGTGGGGGCCTCTGCTGAGGTTCTTGCCAGAGTCTGGGGCAGGGATCTGGGGGTGGGGTTTCCCTAGAGTTGAGGTTGGGAGGGGTGCTCAGGCCATGGGCAAAAGGGATGCAGGTGGGGGGTGCAGGAGTCAGGGCTGGGCTGAGGGGTCCCTGAAATGATTGAGGGCTTTGGGGTTCCAGCTGGGAAAGGGGGTATTGGGAGGAGACAGAGCTGGGAGATCAGAGGGTCAGGGTAACATGGGATAGGGGTCTCTAGAGGGGACCTGGGGTTGGCAGAGTGCAGGGCTCTCAGATGGGGGTCAAGTGGCCTGGGGATGTAAGAAGATGGAGGGGATGCCATGGAGTTGGGGGCTTCCGGGGGATTGGCAAGTCTCTGGTGGAAATCTGGGGGGCAGGGTGGGATAGAAAGGGCATGGGAGTCTAGAAGGGTCAGGAGAAGGACCTGGGTACTGCAAGCTCTGGGGGTGACAGAACTGGGGGCTGGGGGAACCTCTGGAGGGGGTCCTGCGTCAGTAGCCAGGCCCAAGATTCTCTAGTGGGGTTCATATGGTTTAGAACCTGAGCGACTGGAAGTGGCTGAGCACAGGGCGGGGTCTGTGGGGGTTCGAGGGTGGGTGACAGGGCCAAGGTTACTGACGGAGCCCAGGGGTGGAGGCACTTAGTTGAGGGCCCTGGAGGCACTGAGGCTGGGGACTCTAGCGGTAGCCCTGGGGCCAGGGTTCTCAAGGTAGGGGTCTCTGGTGGGGATCTGGGAGCGGGGTCTGAGGCCTAGGGTCGATGGTAGGGATGAAGAGGTGCAGGAATGGCAGGACTGGGGTCTCCGCCCGGATGGGGGATGCAGGGATGGCGAAGCCTAGTGTTCCAACAAGGATGGCGGGGTGCCGAGTAGCGGTGGTCCGGGGTCTCCAGAGGAGATGGCAGGGTGCGGGAATGGCGGGGTCTGGGGTACCTGGCAGGGATGGGGGCCGAGGTAGCAGAGCCCCAAGGTCCCTGGCGGTGATAGGGGGATGCTGGGTAGCGGAGGACCTGGAGTCCCCGGGGGGGACGGGGTGAGAGGTGGAGGAGCCCGGGGTCCCCGCGGGGATGGAGGGGTGCAGGGCCGCGGAGCCCGGGTCCCCGCGGGGGTGGAGGGGTGCAGGGTCGCGGAGCCCGGGTCCCCGCGGGGGTGGAGGGGTGCAGGGCCGCGGAGCCCGGGTCCCCGCGGGGATGGGGCCGGGCGCGCGCCCACCTGTGCGCCGGGATGCGCTGCGAGCTGAGGCCCTTGCCCACCAGGAAGTGCACGTCGCAGAGCACCTCGTTGTTGAAGAGGAAGGCGAAGCGCTCCTTTACCGTGGGCTTGGTGGCCTGCCAGTTGTACACGGGCTCGCGCAGCAGCGCCGCCACGGGCCCCGCTGCCTCCTCGGCC